CATTTTTATTTCATGCCGACTAATCATTTTCAATACCATTGGCAAAACTAACACATACTGTATACTGCCATATAGATATTTTAATATTTAAAAAAAAGAATTGTACATCCATTTTTTCAAGGCAATCATTATTTCAAGCTTTGAAATTGGTTAAATCCGAGTCCTCTAAAAAGACACATTCACTTTATATGATGAACAGATTTTAATATAGGCTTTTATTTACATACATATAAATATTGATTAATTACCTTTACAAAAATCTCAATCTTAAACATTTGCTCATTCTGTGTATTTGTGTCTTTAAAATAGGGTAACTTTGTTGCAAAAGCTTACAGCACAAGGAAGTTTCATTTCAAATTGAATTGAATTTGCAAAAAAAGACAAGTACACATTCAGTAATAAAATTATAAAACAAATGACCTCAATTCTGTTGAGGTATCCGAATTATGACAACACTGAAGTTTTATAAGCAGTGATTTAAGAGCCATATACATATGTTAGGCCTATTTATTTAGATTAATTGAACATCAGATGGCTTTCACCCTAATGTCTGTACAATAGTGATGCAAACTAGGATATACAGTATGTTCAATTCAGACAAATATTCCATTCCAAAACATTTCTAGCATAAATTTACATCGTAAAGAAATTAAAGTTCCATCTTTGATTGTTGAAAGACTTTCTGGTGCATTTCACTTACAGCCAATAACATTTCCAGTAGGATTTTCATCGATCAGGCGTGGCTCTATTTTGAATGGTTGATAACTTTTGACAAAGTTTAATCCAGGAGCAAAGAGAAATAATTTCTACTTTAAATGCATGGAGATATCGCAATTGCACAGTCTGCGCACAAGCAATATCGGAGTGAGAGGACAGGCAGTTCATTTGTATAAATTAGGCCTATTTGAGTGCTCGCATCCAGTTTTCTGCCATTACATGACTGTGTTCTTATGTTACAATAAAGTGCTCGCCACATTCAGACTCTGTAATTGACAGGAGGCGGATGCGGGTCACTGTCAAACTCGCTGTCGGAGGGCAAAGAGAGACGCAGCTTGGAAAAGCGGCTGCTTTTCTCGGTTCAGATATCAGGGCTTTTATTGGTCCGTTTACGGTTGGATATCTTTATTGGCTACTGAAGTGCCGTCAAAGGTTTGAATATCAATTCAAATTGTGGGCGTACTCAGTAACGAACTATGATTTAAAAGTAACGAAGTAGATTATTTTGCTTAATTTGTACTTAATTACAAATAAAAGTACAGCTTTAAAAATATACTCAAAATAGTACAAGTACCTCCGAAAAAACTACTTAATTACAGTAACGTGATTAGTTTGTAATTCGTTACCTCCACCACTGCGAGTTAGGTAGGGGTGTTGGAAATAATCGATTCTCTGATACATCGTGATTCTCTCTTCAACGATGCTAGAATAGATTCTGAACATTTCAGAATCGATTCTGAGCTTTTTTTTCCATGTGTGTGCTAGAGACAATCGCGGCAGGCTTCATTGCACAGGATATGCACTGTGAAACACATGCGCATTGCTTGACAGTGTGCGCTTCCACCCATAAGTGGAAAAGTTTCACTTTTATGCGTGGGGGGCAACCACCCACATAGCTTGTTGATAGAGAGCAATAAACCTACATTGCAAACAGGAATAGGGGAAACAGCTGCGCGTATGAAAATATTATCAATTATGAAATATCTGAAATTACATTTTAACTGTGGGAAAAGACTGGCCACACATATGTGGCCCACAGTTCTATATTTTACATGTGGGCCAAATAATACATTTAACAACTGGCCCATATCTTGTTTGCCACCTTAAAGACGGTTCCATCTCCACCATAACCGGGCCATGTTCGGTTCACATGCCTTATGCCAGTGCCGACTGAATGCCAGCTTTGCCGGCTTCATGCCAAATCAGGGCCAGAAGTCTTTGCTACCTGGGCACTGGCAGACGAGCCACGAGCACTTTTTAATATGTTTTTCATTTTATATATTGATGTAACATATATTCAACATTAACACAGAGTAAAAAAAAAAAAAAAGCATATCTAATGCAGAAAAGCCACCTTTTTTCCAAGAATTGCATCACACGCCACACTCAAGGCCATCGCTTCATGTGTAAATCGCCTGTCCAATTCAGCCAGCAGTGACTCAGTCCACCACATTTTTATTAGCGGGGTTATTTATAAAAAAAAAACAAAAAGAACAGTGAATATTAATGTTTCAGTTAACTTGCTAAAGCAGGAAAATAATGAAAAGAGAGTCTTCTCATGTATTGCGACAAGTTGAGAATCATGAGTTGCGAGAATATGGGGCTTAAATATAATTGAAATTAATTTAGCCCAAAATGTACTTATTCTATCCACTAAAATAATAAGATAGTACAACTAAAATGAGAAATTATGAATTCTTTAGTTTTTATATTTTATTCATAACAGACAAAATCATTGTAAGGCATGGGGTTTTAGATGCCCGTGGGTTGATGTGAATAAAGACGATGGACTTGAAAATATCGACGGCTAGTAACTTTTATTGAGCAAAGTCCTAGAACTGGGGAGGAAAGCAGCACTAGTCTCCATGCCCGCCACACTCTACCCTCTCTTCTTCTCCTCTTTCCCGCACTTCCCTTCACATTACAAGACCCTCCTTCTCGGAGGACGCAACACCAAAATAAAAGTCCTTGGCAAAAACATGCAGAAATAGAATACAATGAATATTAAACAAACAACTTCACATTAGTTACCCTGTGGGAAAAGAAACGTCCACGTTTTCAAAATATAGAAAGTAACAATTTCCTTAAACCATACAAAACAATGTGCAGATTATTGGTGCAATACAACCAAAATTTTCAATAAACACAATACAGGGTGTTTATGTGGACTGCAGCAAAGGTTCTAAAACGAACTGATAACAAGTTTTTTTTTTTTTCTTATTTCACAACATAATCTTTAAACCTTGCAGGCAATTTGACAGGCCTGCGACCTAACAGTCTAGTCTAGCACACCATGCGGAGCCATAGTAGGATGGTCCACTTTTGAGGATACAGTGTCCAGGGTGTTTATGTGGACTGCAGCAAAGGTTCTAAAACAAAGAACTGATAACAAGTTTTTTTTTTGTTTTGTTTTTCTTATTTCACAACATAATCTTTAAACCTTGCAGGCAATTTGACAGGCCTGCGACCTAACAGTCTAGGGTCCAGCACACCATGCGGAGCCATAGTAGGATGGTCCACTTTTGAGTATAAAGTGTCCATGTCATCAGGCTGTGTGATAGTAAACTGTCCAGTGTTTTGAGTTAAGTTCAGGGGGGACTGTCCCAAAAGCAAAGACCTAGCTGGACTCTGACTGGGGACCTCACCAGTAAAGACAACAGAAGGCAAGTTCTCCTGGATAGCAAGTGTAGAGGAATTAGAAGTACTAGTGGGTACTTCCCTTTCAACAGGCTGTGCAATGGGAGATGATGCATCTGAGACTGTTTGTCTAAGCTGATAGGTGGAAGACAGGTAAGGTTTAAGACGGTTATGATGTACCACTTGCAGTGTCTTTTCAGAAAAACCTTTTGGCTGAATAGCATCCAGTACAGAATAACCATCAGTAGGCTGAACATTTTGTGTTACAATGTAGGGCCCTTTCCAACGTGGGGTCAGTTTACACCGGGAATGAGCAGGATCATTCAACCAAACCAAGTCTCCCACATTGTATGAGGTGTATTTGGCCTTTTTGTCATATTGAGCTTTTTGCTGCTCATGAGCATGTTCCTGATTCTCCTGACGGAACTTGAAAGCAAACTGCAATTTCCTGTAGAAAGGTGAAGCATACTCTGCTGGGGTGCCGGCAGAGGCACTGGAAGGTTCAGTAAGACAAGGGAAGAGTAAATGAACTGGCAATCTGGCTTCACGTCCATGCACAAACTTACCTTATCGGGGTGTTTTGTTAGTTTGATGCGTTTCCTCCTCTTGAGGTCGCCACTGCTTTTAAGAAGAGGTTGCCAGATTTTCACAACAAAGCCCGCCCAATCGCGTTTCGAGGGGGTCCCCCGTTAAAAATCGCGTTCTGAGGATAAAATAGGCATGTCTTTTAATCACATCTTCAAGAATGCACAAAATAAATGTGATATAATCGTGATGCATCGTGATATTGAATTGAATCGTTGACATGATAATCGTAATCGAATTGAATCGTGAAACCAGTGACAATGCACCTAACACAAGTTAGGTGCCAAAATGTATATGGAAAAAAGACGAAGACGAAGAAGATGTGAGATAGTAATAGTTAAGTTTGCAAGAAAGTAATAGTGACACTTTGCTTTGCAAGCACTACTAATAATAATAGTAATAATAATAACAAGATATGTACATTTTCTGAAGAAAATGTGAGTGGTGCTTGCTGTAGCAAACCTAGGGTCTTCTGTGTGATTGCAAGAGAGCCAACTCTCATGTCTGTGCAATGTTCTGGTGTTGGGATGTGGCTTCATGTTGCTGCTAGGGTGCTCTAAATCATTGCTAGGCTGATTTTCACAGTTTCTATAGTGATATTTAAAGAGTCTGCCAGTCTGAATCAAAATAGTCCAACCCCGTAATTCTATGTTGTTCAGGTGCCAAGATATGACTGGCTCAAATTACTACACGGTTGCTAGGGTACTCTAAATGGTTGTGTGATGCTTTGCCTTGGTAGTGTGCGATGATTTTTTAAAAATAAGAGTGTTATATGTAAGACAAAAAGAAAAGAAATTGCTGCAAGTTATGCAAGAAATCAAACATTTTTCCATTGGAATAAGATACACTGATAAATTGCACACAACAATACCAAGAGTGTGTATAATGAAAATATATTCGATTTTAATTTCATGTTGACTTTAACATTTTTGCATTTTTCAAAAATAAAAATCCAAGATGCAGAACTCAAGTATAAGATGTCTGCCATAAATCTCATAATTCTTAATGAATGCAGTCAAAAGTAATGAATATTAATGTATTGATATGTTTGCATATTGCAGTTTGCATGTACAGAGAGCCTTCACTGCATGAGATTGAAGAGAAGCAACGCTCCAGGAAAAGCTCAGGAACCCCAACAATGAACAGAGGCAAAGTGGTCAACCAGGACTCCACATAGCAGGGCCCAAACGCAGGAGGCTACTGCAAAAGAGTAACCCCTTCCTCTTGCCCTCACACCTCCAACCACGGGAATAGTACAATATGCTACAATAAGATGACAAACTGAACTCTTGCCGGAGAAAACTTTTAGAAGAACACAGGGGGGAAAGAGAAATAAGAGAAATAAATGTTACCGTTCCAACCAGGAGCTGAACTCACATTTTATGCAAAAAATAGTTCAATGGACAGTCATTTGATTTTCAAAAATATTAATATTATTTGGGGTTCATGTTGTGAGAAATGAGCTTTAAAACATTCTTATGTTTTCATTTTCATGTGAATGCTCTATTTATGTATGCTTTTACTGTCAAATTGGGAATGTTTCTCTTTTCGCTCAATGTCATTATTTCTGTTTGTGAATATTATGCAGATTTGACCAAGTGTTTTGGTGTGTTTTATTTTATTTCATTTTTTGGTGTTACCTGAGAGCAGGGTTTGAAATTAACTCCCGCCAACCCGCCAAATGCGGGTAAAAATCAGCTGTGGCGGGTAACGCTGTCAAATCACTAGCCAATTTAACGGCCGAGTTACTTTTCGTAAATTATGTTCACTCATTCATTTCTTGGGGAAGTTCATGCAGGCCAAATCTGAGCAGGGTTAGCGCAAATACTTAACTCGTGAGACATCATGACATTATCGAGTGTATTGCAAAAGCTAAACAAAACACACCTACAGAGGCACGCATATGCGACGTGATGAAGTCTGGTTAAACTGACACAGGATTTAGTGCGCGTGCGCATTTAGAGTGGTTCTTTCACTGCATGATTCAGTCTATTAATATGCATTAAGAATGATCACATAATTCGAGATAAGGAGGCAGAAAATGTATATATTTATATCAATTCATATAGTTAATCAATATCACACGAAGAGTGCCGTTTTTTTCTTAAAAAATCAGCATGGTTACAAATGTGATATTTATTTTATACAACAGTTCAATAAACAATAAGTTAATATCAAGAGACTTACGTTTTAGACACCATATTGGCTGTTTTTGCGCTATTTCTGTGCTATTTCTCCATAAAAAAAAAACATTCCAAACACAGCCACAACACTGTTTTGCGTCTCTGAGCAACATGACATTGTTTTGTTTTTGAATGAATCAACCGTGTAAATGATTCGGATCAATCGCAATGACTGACTAAACAGTGACTTGCTGCCACCTACTGGCGGTGTTAATTTCACATTTAAAGTATCTTTTCATTTTTTAAATAATTTCAAATATCAGTATTCAACATTTCATGTTTTAAATATCAAAACATTATTTATGCATTTGTAACTGCAGTTTAAAGCATTCCATGTCCCTTTTTTCCATTATTAATTTTATTGATACTGATTTGATTTGTTTAGTAACAGCCTAAATGTATTATTATTATAATTCTGTCTTTTTTTTGGCTAGTAGAAGTTATGAATGGCCGGTAACTTAAAAATTTAGAAGCCAAATTGGCTGGTGAGTGAAAAAGTTAATTTCAATCCCTGCCTGAGAGGTAAAGGTAAATGCACTTTGGGAATCCAAATTATTGAAATAGCAGGAGGGTGAATCTAGAATGTTTGCTCAGATATTTTAGAAGCTTTTTGGATCTTAGAGCATTTTACATCTTATTCATTTTGGTATGAGGTAATATACACTTTACCATTTCTTCAAAAAATCTTGCCCGCCTTGATGCACATATGTCCAGCACAAGTACACTGTGTATGCTCAACACCGCCAAACTGCATCTTGGTTTTAGTTGGAATGTGACACTCTTTGTTACAATGAACAGCTAAGCTTTGGTTAATAAGTAGATGATTCCCTGTGAATTTTCCACAAATTCCCTTGCACTCATTACAAAATCTAACAAACAACTCAGGATTCCTTAGTCCTAAAAGTGTGATGCTGACACCGACCCTGTCCAGTCAAAAGCACAAAGAAGGCCAGTTGTGTTGCCCCTGTACAGGGTTTCCAGGAAGTCGGCCTGGACAGGGTGGGTGGATTGTGGACTAGGTGGAGTCTGGCATTCATAAGTCTTCCAATAAAAATGGCATGAGAGCTGTGCCCAAGTATGCAGAAATGAGGTGCAACAAAACAAAGAGACATTAAGTCCATAAGTCATCAGAAAGTGTGTTTGTAGTTAACTGAGGAATGACCAAATAAATAACACGTGTACAAATAGTGTAAAAACAGGCATGCAATGCAAAGACTGTCCAGATAAACTGGTTTTCCAGAAAAGAAAACACTGTAATGTGAGTGCTTCCTTTTGCTCTGTACAAACGAAACTCTTTATGTTTCATGTTTGCAGATGTTTTCACCTTAAAGAAATACAATCATACATATAAAATATGCATTGATATTATAAACAGAATTAAATTAGGATTAAGATATGATACTTAAAGCTTTAATCCCTGTGTGCATAGCTTATTTTCCAAGGATGCCCACGAGCAATTTATTATTATATACAGTAATTGCATTTAATGCAGCACTAGGCAGCATTTAAAATGCATTTACATAGAAAATCTAAATTGCAGAAATAAGAAAATTAATCTTTTAAGCATTTGATTACTAATGACACTCCCCACAGGGTACATTGTCACAAAATAGACATGCTTAACTTCAAGATTTGACTGTCAACTTCAGGAGGTCAAACTAATACAAAACTAGGTAAAACTAATACTACTGGTCATGGTCCTTCTTGGGTGTCACTGTTAGAGAGACAAAATTGTTCTTGGGTAACATTAATTAGGTAATAACTAAAATATAGTTCTTACTACAATAAAATTAAAATTAACATTATATGCATTAACAGAATATGTCTATACAGTGGGGAACATATTTATTTGATCCCCTGCTGATTTTGTAAGTTTGCCCACTTACAAAGAAATGAAGGGTCTGTAATTTTTATGGTGGGTTTATTTTAATGGATAGAGACAGAATACAGACCAAAAAATCCAGAAAAAAACACATTATATAAAGGTTAGAGATTGATTTGCATTTCAGTGAAATAAGTATTTGATCCCCTACCAACCAGCAAGAATTCTGGCTCCCACAGACTGGTTATGTGGAACACAGATTAGTCCTGTCACTTTAAGAAGTTACTCCTAATGTCAGCTGGTTAAGTGTATAAAAGACACCTGTCCACACAATTTGTATCTTCCATTCCAACCTCTCCCACCACCATGGGCAAGACCAAAGAGCTGTCAAAGGATGTCAGAGACAAGATTATAGGTCTGCACAAGGTTGGAATGGGCTACAAGACCATCAGCAAGAAGTTTGGTGAGAAGGAGACAACTGTTGGTGCGATTATTCGAAAATGGAAGAAATACAAAATAACCATCAATCGGCCTCGGTCTGGAGCTCCGTGCAAGATCTCGTCTCATGGGGTAAGGATGATCATGAGAGAGGTGTGGGATCAGCCCAGAACTACATGGGAGGAGCTTGATCTTAAGGCAGTTGGGACCACAGTCACCAAGAAAAACATTGGTAACACACTACACCGCAATGGACTGAAATCCTGCAGCGCCCGCAAGGTCCCACTGCTCAAGAAGGCACATGTACAGGCCCGTTTAAAGTTTGCCAATGAACATCTAAATGATTCAGAGAAGGCTTGGGAGAAAGTGCTGTGGTCAGATGAGACCAAAATTGAGCTCTTTGGCATTACCTCGACTCGCCGTGTTTGGAGGGAGAGTAATGCTGGCTATGACCCCAAGAACATCATCCCTACAGTCAAGCACGGAGGTGGAAACATTATGCTTTGGGGCTGGTTTTCTGCTAAGGGTACAGGACAACTTCACCCAGAGAATCTGTAAAGAGGAGTGGACCAAAATCCCTCCTGAGATGTGTGCAAAAATGGTGACCAACTACAAAAAACGTCTTACCTCTCTGCTTGCCAACAAGGGTTCCTGCACCAAGTACTAAGTCATATTTTGCTTGGGGATCAAATACTTATTTCACTCACTGAAATGCAAATCAATTTCTAACCTTTATATAATGTGTTTTTGTTTCTGGATTTTTTTGTTAAAATAAACCTACCATAAAAATTACAGGCCCTTCATTTTTTTGTAAGTGGGCAAACTTCAAACTCAGCAGGGGATCAAATACATATTGTCCCCACTGTAATTATTGTTGGATATAGTCAAGAAGATTAACTATTATTTCTGGTACATTTGATAAAGAATTGATATATACAAGACCCAGATTTGTGCCTCAATACTAAGCAGTAATGGAATATAGACACATGAAACAGTGAATGAAAAATATTTAAATGAAATGAAAAATTATAAATGATAAACGATTAACTGCTGTGACAACAACAAATGACTGATCTCAACTGCCTCTGAGGCGAGTCAGAGATATAAATAATTGTGTACAACTTTTAATGTGGCATTGCATCTCTACACAAAATTTGGAGGCGGCACAGAGTCTCCTCAGGGCAATCTTAATGCCTTATTTTTAAAATTCTATGCAAAATTCAAATGACTGAAAAATGTTTTATCCCAGGTTTAGGTAAGTCCAATGATATCATCCTGAAAGTTAAAGCACTCAGGCAGCAATCCAACTTGACATTTTAGAATTGCACTTCCCTGACCTTAATTGTCCTTGTTGTCATGGAAACAGTCTTTCCCTACTGTCTGTAAGGAGAAAGAAGAGGAGGAAATGGAGGGGGAGGAGGGCTGCTTTCAGGCAAATTATCTGTTCTTTTCTTTTTGTGGCAAAGGGATTGAGATTGTGTTTGTGATTGTTTCTCTTTCTTTCTCTATTCAAAGTCACACTATGTACATAGGGACACCCAGTGGAACATCTTAATTTGGCCTCCACGTACACCAAAAATGTAACTCTCTGATCAAAGACATTATATCAGTACCAAACCCCAACTTTTGTTAAAAAGACACTTAATTTAACTTATCTCTCTGTCACCTTTTTATTTAGTCCTGTATGCTCCTTACAGAAATCTGGAAACAGTCTATAAAGCTTTGACATTTTTGATCCATGATACTTGTGCGTTACATAACTGCAAAGCCATGCTGAGCCAAGTTGAACTGATTCTGTCAGTGCCATTGTAACACATAGGATCCTGTGTACCCTAAAGCCCACTGACTTGTGTAAAAAATCTCCTGCCTGCCTGCAAATCCCCTCTTTTCTTAACAGAATATTGATTTGATAAATCTACTGCAGCTGTAAAAAAATTTTCATCGCTCTGTTAATC